TATACCTCTGTCCATAACTGTTCCTCCTGGCTCCCCTCTAAGCCAGCCACTTCAGCTGGTGTTCTATGAAAGGAAACATAAATTGCTGTGTTTCTAGGAAAAAAGAAAAACCAATGTCTTTTCTGGGCATAACAAAAGATAATATTCTAATATATTTAAGAGACTTTTTTTTTTGTCAGTCGTGTGACCTGAACTCTCACAGACTTTCTTACCTGGGCTGGCTTCAAACCTTAATTCTCAGATCTCAGCCTCCTGAGTAGCTCATATTACAGGTGTGAGCTACCAGCACCCAGCTAAATATGTATGTGTGTGTGTGTGTTTTGTTGGTATTACAGGTGTGAGCTACTGGCACCCAGCTAAATATGTGTGAATGTGTGTGTGTGTGTGTGTGTGTGTGTGTGTGTTTTGTTGGTTGTGGGGCCTGAACTCTGGGCCTGGGCAATGTCCCTCAGCTCTTCAGCTCAAGGCTAGTGCTCTACCACTTGAGCCACAGTGCCACTTCTGGCTTTTTTCTTTTTGCATATGTGGTGCTGAGGAATCAAACCCAGGGCCTCATGCATGCAAGGCAAGTGCTCTACCACTGAGCCATCTTCCCAGCCCTCTTTTGAGGTTTTGAGGTAGCATTCTTACTATGTAACTCTGGCTGACCTGGAACTCATAATCTTCCTGTTTCAGCCTCCTTAGTGCTAGGATTATAGATGCACATCACAATGACTGGCTTTACTTAAGAGATGGTTAAGGGTAAGTTTGACTATAGGCAATATATGTCTTATATCACAACTTAAAACCGAAACATTCACAAAATGGGGATAAACCATAGTTTAATTAATGTTATTTGTGTGTGTGTGTGTGTATGTGTGTGTGTGCGCGCACACATGTGTGTGTGCACGTGCGTGTGCACGTGCCAGTCCTTGGGCTTGAACTCAGAGCCTTGGTATTATCTGAACTTTTTACTCAAGGCTAGCTAGCAGTCTATCACTTGAGCCAGGACCCCACTTCCTGCTTTTTAGTGGTTAACTGGAGATAAGAGTCTCATGGACTTTCCTGCTCAGGCAGACTTCAAAACATATCCTCAGATCTCAGTCTTCTGACCCAGCATAGTTTAATTAATTTAAACGAAGAAAAGACTGAGAGTCTCAATACATAAATTCTGGTCCAAGGCTGATGTTGGCCAAATAATTATCCTTTATTAATCTTTGGAAACAATGATGAAAGTAGAACTCAATATGAGAATACAAGGATTCAGTGGATCTTATAGATCATCTAGTTGAACTCTTTGTATTTTATAGAGAAGAGCCAATGTCCCCTGTCAAAGCAGTCTAAGGTTAGTACAGAATGATAACCAGTACTGAGGCCTCTGAACTTTCCAGTGTCTAAGCTCTGCCCTTCGCCTGTAGCACCAACCAGCCTAGATTCCTATGCCCCATCTGTGCACTGCAGGAATCCACAGTTGCAGCCACATTCCAAGGAAGCAGATGCTGCAGATGTGCACATGCCTTGAAACGCAAGGACTGAGAGAAGTCAGGCTGGAGAGGAATTCTCATAAATGTGAGCATCCGGTCCACAGCCTTGCACCCCTGCTTCTTTCTCCTCTTACTGATGCACAGTGTCAGTAGTTCCTGAGAAGGCTCCCTAATGGGCCGGAAGGGCAGTCTGGGGCTTGGGTAGGGCTGGAAAGGGTTCTTGTGGACCAGGAAGTCCCTCAAACACACTCCTTGGATCCTATAGGAACTCACTCATGGATTAAAATAGGCTTAAACTGGGCATCAGTGGCTCACGTCTATAATCCTAGCTACTGAGGAGGCTGAAATCTGAGGATCACGGTTCAAAGCCAGCCCTGGCAGAAAAGTCCATGAGACTCTTATCTCCAATTAACCACTAGAAAACCAGAAGTGGTGCTGTGGCTCAAGTGGTAGAGCACTCGCCTTGAGCTGAAGAGTGCAGGGATAGTGCCCAAACCCAGAGTTCAAGCCCCACCACCAACAAAACAATAAAATAATATAGGCTTAAAACTGGAGAAGTTATTCTGTCAAAGGCAAGTCTATGATGTTTAAAGTGCCCTGGTGAACGACAGTGGTGGTATGTGATATGTTCATCATCTCTACTCAAATAACTTGCCACCAAGGCATCTTCAGCAGACCATAACCTTTCATTGGGATTCCAAGACTACAAGCTCTATTGGCTATTATAAACATACTACATGGTTTTCTGGGGTTATCCTAACTAAGATAATGAAGGTGCAATAGAGTCATCTGGGAAATTCTGGTAAGGAAGATTCCGATGAGAATTCTGGAATTTAAGGTACCTTAGGAATCAATCATCTTATCCCACCTTTTCCTTGAACAGATGAACAAACAGGATTCTGGAGAGAGCTGTTGTCTTACCCTGGAAGCACATGGCATGCTCTGCTTTTATTTATATATGGAAAAAAAGAGCTCCTTTCTCATTCAAAGCCAGGAGAAGCTCATATTCTGAGTTGGGAAGGCAATAAAAAGGTTTTAACTATGTGGGTAAGGCTTCTCTGTTTGAGAGTTCAGCAGTTCCAGCCCTCTTTTTACACTCTGACCTTTAGTCCCTTCTTCTTTCCTGTGGGAAGTTGATTAGAGTGGCAAAATTCAAGCCATGAGGCGGGTGCTGCAAAGCCAAGGCTGGGCAAGCAGTGAGCGCTAGCGTCACATCAATCTGAATAATTCCACTTTGCTTTCTTTTCTCTATTGGACCTAACTGAAGGATTGTTAAATGAATGTGTTCATTCAGGAGAAATCACTTTAAAAAAAAACAATAATAACAACATTTAGGACAATCCTATAAATGAGGATTAGACGAGTCTCCAGAGGGCCTGTATCCTGCCATTCAGAAAGTCTTGACTCCTGGAGTGAAACTCTGTGGGACATGTGTGCACAAGGGCCCTGTCTCCATGTGAGCCCCAGTTGTTGACGGATGTGGGTACAGCATCTTTGTAAGGAGAGGCTTGATCATGTCTCATGGCTGCCAGAACCTCTGCAGGGAAGCGAATGAGAATACGAGGAAGGTGTTCTGGTAGTACAAGCTACCTCCTTTGTAGAAATCCTTTTTGCCCCCCAAAGGAATTAGAAAAATGTGACTGATTCAGAGATTCAAGGACTCTAGGGCATTTCAAGTAGATGGATCAGTCAGTGAGATGCCTCAAGTAGACTGTGTCTTTGCAGTGCCCAGAGGTTATGTTTTCTAAGCCTATTTCTCTACAGGAGACCAGGTCTTTTTCTCTTAACAATCCCATAGTCCTTAGGAGACTCTGGGGGCAGCTTCCTCTAAAGCAGTCATTCTGGGATACTGTCAACATCTGGAGACGTTTTTTGGTGTCGTAATGGGAAGTGAGCTGCCATTCACTGACATTTAACAAGGAGAAGTTATGAATGTTGCTAGGATTCCTACAAGGCTGAAGGTTACACTAAAGATTACGCTAAAGCGTTAACCTCTCCCTCAGAAAGAACTGTCAGTAGTGCAAAGATTTAGAACTCTGACAGGGCACCCTGGCTACTTCACATGGACCCCACAGATTAAATGGCAGTACCCTACAAATAAAAAGAGCTGGAAGCAGGAGGGGGCCACAGCCCCTCTTAGCAGCCTTTCTCCCTCTCCTATGGCTCTTAAAAGCACTGCAATGTTCCCTAGCTCAGTGGGGACATAGCTTGTGAGTAGTTTGATGTTGGCAAAAAAAAAAAAAAAAAAAAACATGGAGAGGCCACAAGGTGTGGGATTGGAACCTTGACTTGCTGCCAACTGGGTGCTCAGAGCCAGTAACTTTTAGGCTGGGTTCTTAGCTGTGAAATGGAATAGTAGTTCTTGTTTCATAGAGAATTGTAAGGATTGAATATTTTAAGTGTACGAGCATGTATAAACTCACTACTTTGTTATTGATCAAGTATTCTGGTTAATACAAGGTTAACTCTTGCTGAATTACTAGCTTTGGGAAAATAAGATTACAGTAATCACAAAGCCAGCACTAGAATTATTCGATAAAAACCATTTCCAGGCATCTAGAGAGAGCATAGAAAATAGGTTCTTAGGTCTCTATATGTTTTGATAGGTACCATCTTAATAACCTCAATCCCACTGAGGAACATGGTTTGAAGCCAGCCCAGGCAGGACAGATCATGAGATTCTTATATCTGATTAACCAGCAAAAAACAGAAATGGAGGTGTGGCTCAGGCGGTAGAGCATCATTCTTAGGTAAAAAAGCTAAGCAACAGCACAAGGCTCTGAGTTCAAGCCCCAGTATTAGCACAAAGCAAACAAAAACAAAGCAGAAAAACCAAAATCACATCCTGATCCCCTTTCTTGATCCTACCTTAAAATGATAAATTCTCATCCATAGCAATTACAGTAAATAAGTTCATATATTATGGTTCTTTTCTTCTCTCTGCCCCTCTCATGTGTTTTTATATACCCTGCTAACAGTGACTCCCCTTTGGGCCCTATTCCCGTTGCTGACAAAGTGCAAACTTCTTAGCATGTCATTCCACTCCATTCAGCATTGCACCCTCATCTCCCTTCCAACCTCACATCTTACAATGCTTGCAAGTGCATGATCATTATTTGGGGGAGTTAGGCAATACTTTCTTATACCTCAACTTTGGACATAATTACTGCTTTGTTTCTGGATGATTACTGCTTACTCTGCTTGGAAATCTTGGAGCAAAGGTTAGTGGACACATTATAGCCTTTAATAAGTGAAAATAATAATAATAATAATAACAATGTGTTTGGCTAAGACACATCCCATCAGCCTGTACGCTCATCATCCTACTTCGGTTTAACCTTGGCATAGCGCCCCCTGGCTTTCATTCGTTGCATTGTCACCTTGTGTATTTCCCTCTTGAGGTGAAAGTAACTCTAGGAGGGAGGGTAAAGCAGTATTTAACTCATCAGCTGGTATATATTCATGGAACTATCTTGCACTACTAGCAGAGAACACACATCCCTGTTAGGAAACTTTGGGTTGTGGGGGAGTCCTCACCTTCACGTAGTCGTATTCACAAAGGTAGGAAGATTCCAAGTTGAAGTGCATGAAGTAAAGCTTGATCCGAAACCCCTCTGGGACAGTGATATTCCAAGTCACTTCTGAGTCACTTGGATAGGAGTCTGGATAGCCAGGTGATTGGATCTGGCCAAACATATCATTTAGCTCTACGACGTGGGTAGAAGCCTTCAACAGGGAGAGGCACAGGGCATGGTAGAAAAGAAGCCACCTGAAAGACATGAATGATTCTGTTTACATTAATGGACACAGGTGCTTAATACTGAACTGAATTGGCAGTCATATAATTAGAGTCAGGATTCGTGCTGTAACGCTGTACCCATTTGGCCATGCCATCCAGTCTGCAATAGGGAAGGAAATAGCTGGATGTCTTCTAAGGATTTGTTTGAGTTTTGCACATTGTAGAATTAGCTATGAGCATTAACTTTTCCAGAAAGTATTATATTTGGGCCTCGTAGATACATTCTTTTACTCTCAAAAATTGCTTTCATAACTATCATTGGTAGGAAGTGGCACTGTGGCTCAAGCAGTAGAGTGCTCGCCTTGCGCTGAAGAGCTGAGGGAGCGCCCAAGCCCAGAGTTCAAGTCCCACAACCAACCGAAAAAAAAAAAAAGGACATAACTATCACTGGTATTATTTCCTCACTTCAGCTTCAGTTAAGAATCATAATTGTGTGCATTTTTCTATGACATAAGTAATAAGAACATGGCAATATTAGGATGAGAGTATTATTCAGAGAAGAAATCTGCAGACTTCAAACAAGTTGATAGAAACATTTCAACCACAAAAATCAAATAAGGTATGCTGTGTTTTGAATTAAGACAGAATAAAGGTGTTTCTTCTTCCTCTTGGTAAGTGTTCTAATACAAAGGTCAAATGCCTATAGAGTGGCTCATGTCTCTAATTCTAGCTACTCAAGAGTCTGAATCTGAGGATCTGATTCAAAGCCAATCTGAGCAGCAAAGTCTGTGAGGCTCTTATCTTCAATTAATCAGCACAAAGCTAGAAGTAGAGGTGTGGCATAAGTGGGTGTAGAATACCAGCCTTGAGGAGAATAGCCAAGTGAGAGTTCAAGGCCCTGGGTTCAAGCCCCAATACCGGCATACACACACACACACACACACATACACACACGTGCACATACACACAGAGGTCTATAAATGGTTTCTGTAGGAATAAGAGCTAACAAACTGTTAAACAGTGCTGCAAGCATGGGCAAGGAAAGCCTGCTAAAATGTCCAGAGCACACCAACTGGGGATGATGCAAGAATGTGCAGAATAACCAATGTTGACAAAGCCCTACTGGTCAGTACACACACCAGGCCAGGTACCTGTGGAGCAGATCACTTTTCTTGTGCGAACTCCAGGGTCCTGGAACTCAAATGTCCCAAACTCTGCCTACCAGCTTCTCTCTTCCAAAACACTTGCTCTAGCGCCGTCAGGATGGCCGAGCGGTCTAAGGCGCTGCATTCAGGTCGCAGTCTCCCCAAAACACTTGTTCGTATTGCTGATTTCCTTTAATAGTCCCCAAATCTGAAATGTTACCATTTCTCTTTCCCTTTATACAACACGAAATAGTCACCAGTTTACTGATTTGGCTTTTTATGTTTGGGGAATTCATCTATCTTCCTTTCTAGCCAATTACTTAATTTCACAGCCCTCTTACCTGGACTATTGTTATAGCATACTAATGGACCTTCCTGTCCCATGCTCCATTTTATACCATTATAGCAATCTTCTTGATTTCTAAGCACAAGTAGGACCTTGTTTCTCCACTATACCAGCAGCAAAACACACCCCTGGCCTTAGGATGTCCCATAAGGCCCTTTTTGTTTCATCCTGTCTACCTCCCTGTCAGTGCTATGCAGGCCATTCCTTCCCATGGTTCAGCCCCATTGTAGCTGCCCCACCCACTGCTGACTATTGACATGTAGATCTCTGCTATCCAGTTTATTCCCAGACTACAAACTATTTCTTCTTTTCTCCAAATTCCACAGCTCCTGGTGTATGCCTCTATCCCTGCTTCAGGACTAGCCTTTGAAGTGCAAGGTACCTAAGTTCATATCCCTGTTCTTCATATTCTATATATATATATATATATATATATACGTATACATATATACGTATATATACATATACATATATATATATACACATACATGCATATATATATTATATATACGTATATATAAACTTAGGAAACTAGTTTTCCTGGCAACAGTCTCCTTCTCCATATAGCTTTTATATAAAATTAGGACTATAGGGCTGGGAAGGTGGCTCAGTGGTAGAGCGCTTGCCTTGCAAGCATGAGGCCCTGGGTTTGATTCCTCAGTACCACATAAGCAGAAAAAGCCAGAAGTGGCGCTATGGCTCAAGTGGTACAGTGCTAGCCTTGAGCTGAAGAGCTGAGGGACAGCACCCAGGCCCAGAGTTCAGGCCACACGACCAACCAAAAAAAAAAAAAATAGGACTATAAACCCTAATTTATGGGGATCATATGAGCATTAGAGAAAATATATGTCAAGGACCAAGTACAGATCATGGTATATAATACATTATGAATGAATAAATAAAAGAAAGAAAGAAGTTGAGGCCAGAGTCTTAGCCTACAAAGTCAAAGCTGGAAAATGATACCAGACTTTGGGATTAACATCCATGTCTTCACCAATCAGGAAGTTGTTTCTCTGAAAATTCTTCTTCTCATGTATTCAGGTCTATATGTGCATATACATGAGTTTTGGGGTGTGTAAATACAGCCAGAGAGCTACATGCATACATACTTTGGCTGTTTTATATAATCTTTACAAAAAAGGTGAATAAAGCAATCTAAAAAATCTTGAAGGCTAGACACAAAGGCATTAACAGAGGTTGTCTGTGAAATGGGACCATGATTGTATTTAGTTTAAACACACACACACACATATTTAGCTGGGTGCTGGTAGCTTATACCTGTAACCCCTACTCAGGAGTCTGAGGTCTGAGGATTAAGGTTTGAAGCCAGCCCAGGTAAGAAAGTCTGTGAGACTCTTATTTCAATTAACCACCAGAAAACCAGAAGTGGAGCTGTGGTTCAAAGTGATAAAAAATGCTAGCCTTGAGTGAAAAATCTCAGGGACAGCACCTAAATTCAAGCCCTATAACTGACCAAAAATTTTAAAAAAGCTAAAATTGGTCTAAAAAGACACATACAGTTTTTCAATTAAAAGGAAAACATGGTTATTTGTTTTTTCCAAGGGTTCTACAATAGTAAGTTGTGGGATGATATTAAGAAAAACAAAAATGTTTTAATCCAATTGGTAATGTCAATATTTTTCTAAATCAATCTGTCAAGAAAGGGCAAAGAGAACAAATCACGTTAAGTGAAGTAAGCCAAGCTCAGAGAAATAAAGGACACATGTTTTCTCTTATATGTGGAAGCGAGATCTAAAATAAAACTAAATATGGTCACTTACCTGGGGCTTTATGCATTTACACACAACAAACTGACTAAAGGAGGGCCTATGAAGGGGAGGAACCCAAAGGTGTAACTCCTCTGACCATCTAAAGTACTATTCATCAAAATGAATTTCAGGCAATGGAAACGTGGGAGGGATTGTTTTTTGTTTTAATTTATTTTGCTTTTCTTTTCTTGGAGGTGGGCAAAAGGGGCACAGGAATGGAGGGCAGAAGGGTGAGCAATCATTGTAGTCATTGTACTCAATATACCCTATGTAAAAAACTAACTATGTAACTGTGGGTAGGGATGGGAAGGGGGAAAATGGGGAAAGCAAAGGAAGGGATGGAAATGCCCAAGGAGCATTGTACTCATACCCTGACTCATGGAATTGGAACCCTTTTGTACAACTCCTTAATAATTAAAAATTTATGAAGACAAAGGACAAAGGGAAGGAAGGCTTGGATTCAAGATGTCCAGTCAATGAGGAGGAAAATGGAGTTCAGAAACTCAAATTTAAAGGGTCCAGGTACCCCCATGTCAAAGGGAGGAAATGAATTGTTATTACCAAGGCTGGGGTTCAATTTTTTTTCCTTTCTGATTCTGGGCTTGCTACCAGTTGCTTGTGCTATGCCTGAGCATTTTTCCCCCCTCAAAGCTAGTGTTCTACAACTTGAGTCACAGCTCCACTTCTGGCTTTTTGATGGTTAATTTAGGAATAAGAGTCTCATTGGACTTTCCTGCCTGAGCTGGCTTTCAACCATGATCCTCAAATGTATCTGCTGAGTAGCTAGGGTTACAGAGAGGAGCCACTGGCTCCCTGCTTAGGTTCAGTTTTACTGAGGAGGAGAGCACACTCAACTCCCAGGCCTTGACTTTGTCTGCCTCCCTCATTTTAGGAAAGTGATGGAAGTTTTTCATTCACTTCTTCATCTCTTACACGATCACACTCCTGCTATCCACGGGAAGATTGGAAAGTACTTTGTTAAGTGTCCAGCCCTGTGCAAACATTATCAGTGATGACTCCATCACACCGCTTCCCGAAAAACAGGTATCAGCCATGAGCTTTGACTCCCACACTCAGCATTCCAGCAATAGTGACAACCAGATTTTGTAAGGCTGAAAGGTCGACTTTTTCCCATGTCTGCTTTATCCAGATCACATGGAGGAAACTGAGTCTCCTCAGTTCAGTTCTGTCAAGGGCTGGCAGCTCATCAACCCAGGTCGCCCCGGGACCCAGGGCCATGTGTGGAAGGCAACTGATGAGCGTGGGAGGAAAGCCTGTGACGTGATCTGTTCTCTTGCGCATCTTGAGGCAGCTGGAAACATATGAAGCAAATATCTCTGCTCACGAAATGGGCCTGAGCATATGCTTACTGGTTTGCCTTAAAGGCTATGAAGCAAAGAATCTAAGTGGCAGCTTTCATTCCCTGTCACACTCTCTGATTCTTTTTGGCTTCTTATCTACCCAGGCACCGGCTGTACAATTCCTGACACCCATTAATCAAAAAAGTTGAACTTCTTTTGTTTAAACTGTCAAAAGTTATAAGGAAAGCTGGGATCTTCCAGGCTTCAGTGAAGCAGTCTGTGGGAGATGCATGAAGGATTCTGCTGTATCTTTGGTTCTGGAATGAATAGCACTTTTGAGCCTCTCCATTCACTCTCCTCATTTCAACCTACACAATGCCAAGACTCCATGTTTGGTTTAAGAGTTGGAATCGACTGTAAAGGTCTTTTACACACCACAGTCATTTAACAGATGATAAAAAGGAGACCCCCAAGAGATGTCACATCATGTCTGAGACCATATGTTGAATTAACTTCAACAGAAGAAGGAAATAACAAAAGCTCACAGAAAAAAAAATTGGGACTATGCCCATATCATGCCCAGGCATATGGCCAAAGTAATTAATCCTGTGAAAAATAATTTAAAAACCCATGGCTTCATGTGGACATCAAAAAAAACCCCAAAAACAAAAAACAAAAAACAACCCTCACTAATGCCTGAGCTGGTCCCCATGAGATTCTGGCTTAATTGGTCTGGGGTGAGGCCTGGGCATTGTCATTTTTTTTTTTTTTTGAGTACCAGAAGCCATTCTAATGTGCAGCTCAGATTGAGTCTAGCAGATTATAGTGTGTGTGTGTGTGTGTGTGTGTGTGTGTGTGTGTGTGTATGCTGGTATTGGAATCCAAACACCCAACTTTTAGGTTTGGGCTTTTTCAAACATTGAACAAGTTCTCAACTGCTTTTATCCTCATGTATCCATTAATCCTTACTTCATCCCAAACATGAAAATTAGACAAGACAATGCCAAGGAAAGGGCTTTGTAACTCTTAAGTGCCCTGTATAGATGAAGCCAGACCCACTGGTAACATTTCTAGTGAAATTTTTGTCTTGTAGTCACTTTGCTATTCAGGAATTCAATTCAATGGAACAAGTGTTGATCAATACCCAGCAGAAAACAGGCATTATATTAGCTACTGGTGGATCAACGATGAAGTCATTATACAAAGAAGAGGACTTCGATCACATACCTTGTAAAAACAGGTGGACCTTTAATGAAGGAGTTAGTCTAAAGAAAGAGGTGTCCCTCTGAAGCACAAAGGAGGAGATGCAATCTCCCACTGGGGAAGAGGAAGTGACATTTGATCCTGCTCAAATAATCTGGTCATCTAAGTGGAAAATAAGTGGAAGGGCTGTTCCACATTGAAGATAAGCCTAGGTAAAGACACATGACCATCACTCAGTTACACAGTTGAGGTATTGAGTGAGGTATTGGGTGAGATATCATTCTGCTTTCTTAGGAGGAAGGAAAATGAAGTTTGATGACAGGCTCAAAATGACAACAAAGCCTGGAGTGGTGACAAACACATACACACAGACACATATTCTCTCTCTCTCTCTCTTTCTCTCTCTCTCTCTCTCTCACACACACACACATCGTAATTTCTACCCACCTCCCCCACCTTCCCCACCCAGGCTGAGGAAGGAGGATCTTGAGTTGGAGGATAGCCTGGACTACATAGCTGACAGGCTGTCTCAACAAACGAAACAAAACAACAATTTTTAAAAAGCAATGAATTTAAAGGAAAAGATTGATTGAATTAACACTTTAAGGACTTGGTTATCCCTTTGGTATCCCTTTGGAGCCATAGGTAATAGAAAATCAATGAGTCACTTGGCTAAAAGCCCCTAGCTGGCTTCACAAAGCAAAGTTCTTAGTGACTTTGTAGAAAAGACACAAATAGAAACATTCCTGATTTTAAGGAAAAACAATGGGGGAAAAGGTATGCAGAACTTAACACATCTGTAGCACGTGTTTTTCACCTTTTGTGTATGTGAGAGAGTTTTTAGCAGTGTTCACACTTACAAGTAACAAAAATAATCAGAGTGGTTGAGTTTTCAGAACTGCCAAAATAAACCTGGTAAGGAATTTCTAGTCAGAACATTGAAGCAGGATGAGAAATAGGAAAGATTGATGAGCATCAGTCCAAGCAGAATTTAAACTCCCTAGAATTCCAAACGCCCCTTAAAAAATGTGCTATCTCTTTAAGAGCCATTTGATGCAATTCATAGCCTGACTCATGTCACCAGCTGCCTCTGATTTCAGTGAGCGACACAGAATTTATAGGGAACTGTAAAATGGGGACAGGTTTTTAGTTTTCTAAATTGAGGTTTAACTGGCAAACTTCTAAAGATGTCAAAAACCACAATGCAGAGCTATGGGGCTGGGGGTGGGGGGAGAGGGGGGAAAACTGGTTTCTTTTCCAGTTAGAACAAATAAACACACAAACACATATCTAACTCTCAAAAGTGCTGAGAGAGGGGGGGAGAGAGAGAGGGCGGGAGGGAAAGAAATCACTGCTCATGGATGAAGAGAAAAAGGGAAAAAAAATCAGCTTTGTGGGCAAGAGGAAGAGTCACATTGGCCAGTGGGCAGCACCCTGCCCTGGCAGAGGGAGAAATCTGAGCTCCCACAGCGCCTGGCAGCCTGGAGGAAGGTTGGCACAAACTCCCGTTTTAAGTTGCAAGTCTCCGCAGGAAAGACGTCCACCCACCAATGTCCAGGGCTCCCTTTGCAGATTCCAAAGGTCCATGAGACCCCCCCCAAAGCCCCTGAACCCACAGCCTCTTCCAGGACAAGCAGGTGAGTCTACCCAGACACAAGGTCAGACTCTCCGGACTGGTTGACACTTGATTCCCACCCCACCCCACCCCCCCAAAAAAAGGGCACAGTGCCCTCTCCTGCCCTGACACTCACCTCATTTTCCTGCCTCTGCTTGTGCCTGGGTGCCTGGCCTCTGATCCCCTCTGTCTGACTTGTCTGGGAGCTGGTCCCTCGGTGTGTCGGCAAAGCCTTATCTTTGTTCTGAGGTCCCTGTGTGTCTCTGGAATTGGCTGGCATTCTCCATTCAGGTCACGCCTTCCCCTGCCTGCAACGGATCCCCTCTCCCCCTCTCAGCCTCTGGCTTTTCCTCTCTCCTCTCTGACTGCTCTTCCACAAGCTCAGAGGGACCTGACAGAACAAAATCTGTCTCCTTCCTTGGAAGATCTGCTCTGCTCACCAGTTCCCTCTCTGGGAGAGAATACAGTCCTGAGAGAAAATACCAGAGAGGCTCCATAGCATATAGGTATTTGTATCTGTGTGTGTGTGTGTGTGTGTGTGTGTGTGTGTTGTAGGGGGAGAGAGAGGAAAGTGGGATGGGGGGAAAGAAGGCAGGCAAAGTCTATTTTGCCTGATGGGTTATAATTTTTGCTCTCCTTCAGAGCACCAGAAAAAGAACACCCTTTAAACAGAAACAACTAAGTAAGAAGGCAATTCTAACAACTATCCTTGGAGGGGGAAAAGATGGAAATTTTAAGACCTCATTCTAACTGTAGACAGCTACATATTTTCCTGCGAACAATGCTGCTGGCCCCCACAGTGAGGGAACCTTGAGATCTGTAGATTTTTGTTTCTACTTAGAACCAAGACTTGTGACTCTGTTTATCAGTTCAGTACATAGAGATCCAAGCCAGCCTAGAAAGGGGCTGTTGCAGCCAGAAGACCAGGAGCCACCTGGTCTCATAAGACATGAGCTTTGTGCCTGTGTCAATGCACATGGTTTATGGAGAATCAACATTGGATCAGGCTGAACCCTAATCCCTTCTCCCCTGGGTGGCCCACACAGAATAGGGAGAAACCCATCTGAGTTTAGAAATGTGTTTTACTGAGCACTTTGTTCTTGCAGAGTTAGACACCGTACTAGGTATAAATGCCATCTAAATAGTTTTCCCAAACTTTTTTGAATTAATAGTATAATGGGGCTTCATTGTGCTAATTCCACAGAGGCATGCAATGTACTTTAAACAAGTTCACCTCCTCCACTATATTTCCTTAGGCTCCTCCTCTCTTCTGTTTTTCAAACAGTATTTGGTGGGTTTCATTATCACCCCCCCCACACCACCCATATCATATTTGGCTTTTTGAGCTTGGCATATTTCACTCAACATGCTTCCCATTTTCAATGACATTATTTCATTCTTTATGGTTAAATAATACTATACTTTTTTTTTTTTTGTCATTCATGGGGCCTGAACTCTGGGCCTGGGCACTGTCCCTTAGCTCTTCAGCCTAAGGCTAAAGCTCTACAGCTTGAGCCAACGTGCCACTTCTTGTTTGTTCCGCTTATGTGGTGCTGAGGAATCGAACCCAGGGCCTCATGCATACAAGGCAAGCACTCTACCACTGGACCACCTTCCCAGTCCTACTTTTGTGCACTTTCTAAGGACTTACTGCTATTTTTCTTTTATAAATGAAGAAATTGAAGCATACAAACACTAGCTATTTATTTATTACTCCCTGCTAAGTTACCTGGGCAGCCACTTTGCATATTAATTATCTTCAACACCTTTCTAGCTTGTCTAAGTGGTAGTAACATCATCTCTATTTGGTCTCTAGATGAGGAAACTGCCCAGAGAGGTTAAGCAACTTAGCCATGACCTTTTTTTCTCTTTTGTTTTTGAGCTCTTAGGCATTTTATGACATTGCCTCTTACTAATATATCCTAATGCATGTGGAATTTCACACCACACCACAACACCCCATTGAAATTCAGTTTGAATCATTTTGAAAAGAGCTTGAGATTCACAGTCAGAACATAGCTATAACCATTCCTTTCTACACAAGTTGGCTATGTACTTTGGGTACAAAACTTAACATCTCTGATCCTCATTTTGCAGACTGGAAGCTTAAGATTATGAAGGTCAGTTTGCATTGTTAGTTGCATTGTTAGTTGACCTTACTGTTGGTTAACAATGTGGGTGCCAGTGTCTGAGATGAGAACTTAATATTTGAACCAAAGCATCACTTCAGCAAAATGTTGCTTTGTGTTTCAAGCAGGGTCAGAGGAAAAGCCTTTAAAATTCCCATTAAGAAGATTCTTAGGCTCCTCAGACATCAAATAAGTCTGGCAAAACAACATTTTAATGATTTAAGTGTAAACGAATCAGAAACACATGGACTACATTTCTCCTGCAATACTCAAGGGTTTTAAAACCAAAGGAGAAAAGAACTTGGCAAAATGCACACAGCACTGTGCACACACAGCCCTGCCTGGTGGAGATGTCCCCTAGATTCCCACAGCCTCTGAGTTCTCCCTAGATTTTGGGCTCACACTAGGAAGTGCGTCCTTTGTCCTGGCTCTGGGAGCAGTGGGGAAGAGCTTGGGAGAGAGACAGCCATCAGCTTCTCTTGTAAAGTGTCACAGAGCAATTAGACCTCCTGGAATAATTTCCTAGCCATGTTTTCTCAAGGCTGCCAATGTTCGATGGGAGGCATGTGAAATATGTTTTAAGCCAAAGTTCTGCCAATATACAGCAGATCTGGGATGTGCGGTTTCCCTGGGCCTCAGCCAAAGCTCAGACAAATATGCATGAAAACAGTAACAGTTGCAGCTCCTGCTCCCTTCCCGAACAATCTGCGCTCAGGGACAGTTTCCCTTTGGGTTGATTCACAAAGGCAGACATTGGTGACATTATCCTGTGCTTTGTTAATATAGCCCAGGGTCTGGGAAGGATGGGGAGAGGGTGCTGATCTGGAAAGAGGGTCACTGGGCTCCAGAGTGTACAAGACACCCCCCTCCCCCTCCCCAGCAAGCCAGGCTTTTCTGGGGGGCAGGAATCGGTTGATTATTTTGTAAAATATGAAGATGGGCTCTTTTGAGTTCCCTAAGCATATTAAGCGGGATGAGAAGAATGAGGGGAAATACAGAGAAGACAGGCAGATGGGTTGCCTTGCCAGATCTGTGAAGAGCCAAGGAGGTGAGAGAGTCCCTTAAAATCTCGACACTTGCTTTTTTGTCCTTAGTGTCATCCTTGTTCATAATTCAGTCGTAGATATACACAAAAGTAATATTTAGAAGAAAAGGACTCACAAGTTCAGCAAAAATGGCTGGAAATTCATAGGAGGGAGTAATAGGTTATTTAGAATCATCAAAGTGTGGAAAGACCCAGGTGGGCTCCTCATTCCCGGATAATAGTTACAAAAGCCACAGTAACTCTAGCTATCAAGTGGAGAGATGCTACAGCTTTTCTGTCACTGGAGCACTTTGGTTTACATGTTCTCTCACAGCATTTAGTTTACAACTCCTGAGTGAGAGTGTCTGGAACTCTGTGAATGTGTCAGAAAATGCCAAGAATTCCATCAGTGGTATTTTTCTTTATTTTATTTTAGCAAGACCTCAAATCCAGGCTTGCTAATGAATATTTAAGAAACTGATAAAGAGCTCCATTTACTAATAACTAGGATCTTGGAAGCTACAGTTGCTGAGTTTATCAGATTTTCAGAATAATGTATGATATTAAAAAATAATAATTCCCTGAGCTTCATCCCAGAAAATTCAACTCAATGAATCCAGGTAGGGCACTTGAACTTATAATTTTGAAATCTCCCTGGCATGATTATGTGAACTAAAGCTCAAATCCTTCTCATTGCTCTCATCAGCAAACTTCTGATTCTTCCAGTAGACTTTGAATATTCATGAGCCATGGCATCATGTGACTACAAGATTCCCCCTCCCCACACACACACAAAGGAAAAAGCCACTTATATTAAAGAAGTAAGCTATTTGGCAACAATGCAGGTTGAATTTTTTATGCTCTCCTCCAATCAAATACCGAACTTTTAGCTCCTAGTATCTCAGCATATAAATATTGGGCTTTTTAATTCTTTTTATATTTTTATTAGCATATACTAGTTGCACAAAGAGGTTTCATTGTATTTCCATATGTGCATACCTCATCTTTTGATCAAGTTCTCTGCTTCTAGTACTCTTTTTCACTCTGTCCCCTTTTAAATATAATTTAAACAGGCTTCATTATTCTATTTTCATACATGTATGTAAAGTACTTGGACCATATTCACCCTCCACCCTTTTACTTTTGCCCTCTTCCTTTTATCATCCCTCCTGCTGTCCTAGTTTTACATTCTTGTCATTCATTTTTAACGACTAAATTCTACATCTGAGAGAGAACCTGGAATAGATAGTGGTCTTACTCCATTTGGCATATTTCACCTCACATAACAAGCTCTAGTTCCGTTTATTCTCTGGCCATATATTTGTCTTTTGAAGAGGTGACTCAGTTAAAATGTGGTGTTTGGCATGGGCTCCAGTTTAATATGATGAGCATCTTTATAAAAGCAAGTGAAGACACAGACATGAAGGGGAGATCACATGGAGACACAGGGAAAAAACAGACATCTGCAGATCCCGGATGGACTCTTCTAAAGAAACAAAACTTACCAGAACTTTGATCTTGGACTTCCACTACCTAGAACTACATGAGAACAGATTTCTGTGGTTTAAACACACACTTGCCCCAGTCAAAGTCTGTGATATTACAACATCCTGAACAAATAACATATGTTTACACTTTCCTTACCTTTGTACATCTATGTCCATTCTATACCAATCATACCAATTACAGTAATGCCTACTGATAGTGCTGCCTCCCAGAAGTTCTCAGATGCTAAGCCACTTGGCCAAGAGGGTTTTCCCCAGGGCAGGAGGAAGGAGGCTGCAGGAAGCAGGCATTCAGACCAGGTCATATTGTGTGGGAGACAGAATTCTGGTCAGGTAGAAGCTGGGGCCCATGCTTCACTAATGACCCACGACTGTTTCTTAACTACCACCCCCTCTTTCCAAGCTCCCTGCCCTTTTCTCACTTGGGCTATTCCTTCGCTTCTCCTCCCTTCTGTCATGGTCACCTACTTCTCTCCTCCAATAAGAGGCACCAATGCAGGTACCTGTAACCAATGTTTGTCTGTCTCTCCTTTGTTCCTCCTGATGCTCTGGATGGCTTGGGGCTCTCAGTACCTCATTGATGAAGAAATATTGGTTTTGCTTTTCCAAAAATTAAAACAACCCTAAAATCTCAGACTGAAAGGATCTACTAAGGCCCCAAGTGGGACACAGTGGAGATGCTGCACCTGGACTTCTTGTGCTAACAGTTCAGCAAATCATGGGAACAAAAAAACCCTTAAAATTTAACAGAGGCAGGGCTGGGAAGGTGGCTCAGTGGTAGAGCACTTGCCTTGCATGCCTGAGGCCCTGGGTTCGATTCCTCAGCACCACATAAGCAAAAAGAAATAACGCCAGAAGTGGCACTGTG